GAGAAGCGGAGTTAAAACACACCCTGTCCAGCAATGCACAACCCTGGCACTGTATCCCCCGACCCCCAGCAATGCACGCCCCTGGCACTGCGTCCCCCGGCAATGCACAACCCTGGCACTGTATCCCCGACTCCCAGCAATGCACAACCCTGGCACTGCACTCCCCCGGCCCCAGCAATGCACAACCCTGGCACTGCGTCCCTCGACCCCCAGCAATGCACAACCCTGGCACTGCGTCCCCCGGCAATGCACAACCCTGGCACTGCGTCCCCTGGCAATGCACAACCCTGGCACTGCATCCCTCGACCCCCAGCAATGCACGCCCCTGGCACTGCGTCCCCCAGCAATGCACAGTCTAGACACTGTATTCCCCGACCCCCAGCAATGCACAACCCTGGCACTGCATCCCCCAGCAATGCACAACGCTGGCACTGCGTTCCCCAGCAATGCATGCCCCTGGCACTGCGTCCCCCAGCAATGTATGCCCCTGACACTGCGTCCCCCAGCAATGTACGCTCCTGACTCTGTGTCCCCCAGCAATACACGCCCCTGAAACTGCGTCTCCCAGCAATGCATGAACCTGGCCCTGCGTCCCCCGACCTCCAGCAATGCACGCCCCTGACACTGCGTCCCCCAGCAATGCACGACCCTGGAACTGTATCCCCCGACCCCCAGCAATGCATGCCCCTGACACTGCATCCCCCAGCAATGCACACCCCTCACACTACATCCCCCAGCAATGCATGACCCTGACACTGCATTTCCCCGACCCCCAGCAATGCACAACCCTGTCACTGCATCTCCTAGCAATGCACGACCCTGGCACTGCGTCCCCCAGCAATGCATGCCCCTGACACTGCGTCCCCTAGCAATGCACAACCCTGGCACTGCATCCCCCAGCAATGTACGACCATGCATTTAACCCCGGTCATCACAACCCCCAACAAAGCACCCTCCTGGCACTGCACGCCCTTCGATGCACCCCCTGGCACTGCATGCCTTGCAATGCAAAGCCCTAGCACTGTACCCCCTAGCACTGTAACCCCCAACAAAGCACCTTCCTGACACTGCAACCCCCACAATGCACCCTCCTGGCACTGCAAGCCCTGCAATGCACCCCCTGGCAATGCATGCCCCTGGCACTCTACCCCGTCACGGCAACCCCAACAAAGCACCCACCTGGCAATGCATCCCCTTGCACTGTACCCCCTGGCAATGCATGCACCTGGCATTATACCCCCTGGCACTGACACCCCAAACAAAGCACCCTCCTCGCATTGCACACACCACAATACACGCCCCTGACACTGCACCCCCTGCAATGTATCCCCTGGCACTGCATGCCCTGAAATTCACCCCCCAGCACTGTACCCCTGGCACTGCACCCCCACAATTCATGCCCCCGGCACTGCACCCCCCCACACACAATATACCCCCGGCACTGCACACCCCACAATTCATACCCCTAGCACAGCAACCTCCCCATCACTGCAAGCTCCTGGCACTGCACTGCCTCACCACTGTCAACCCAACACTATAACCTCCCTATCCCCAGTACTGCAGCCCCCCATCTGCAGGCAGAGGCTGGAGGGGGCATCGCTATGCCACTGCCCTCTCAGGGGGAGATGGGTAGGGTCCGTGCTGACACAAGGGGCTGTCTGGGTCAACACATTGGACGCTAACGGTTTCTCTCTGCACGGCGAGCCGTGGTGAAGAGCCACGCCCTGTGGGCTCACCCATGCAGGCTGGGGGTCACTGCAGAGCCAGTAGGGGGAGCTGTGGCAGCGCTGCAGCTGGAGAGGGAGTACAAAACACGGTGCCCTTCCCTGGGGTCCTGCTTAGGGTTGCCAGGCAGACGGTTTTTAACTGAAACACCCGGTCGAAAAGGAACCCTGGCGGCTCCGGTCAGCACTGCTCACCAGGCTGTTAAAAGTCCGGTCGGTGGTGCAGAGGGGGCCCGGGGCTAAGGCAGGCTCCCTGCCTGCCCTAGCTCCACACGGCTCCCGGAAGCAGCCGCCAGGTCCTAGCAGCCCCTAGACGCATGGGCTGCCAGGGAGGCTCCGTGCGCTGCCCTCGCTCTGAGTGCCGGCTCCGCAGCTCCCATTGGCTGGGAACCGCGACCAATGGGAGCTGTGAGGGCGGCGCCTGCGGGCACAAGGGCAGCACATAGAGCCCCCTGGCCACCCATATGCCATTGGGACCCCGCACTCCAACCCCCTCCCGCACCCCAACCCCCTACCCCAGCCCGGAGTTCCCTCCTGCACCCAAACTCCCTCCCAGAGCCCGAACCCCCCCAACACCTCAACTCCCTGCCCCAGCCCCCTCGTGCACCCCAAACTCCTCATCCCCGGCCCCACCCTAGAGCCCACAACCCCAGCAGGAGCCCTTCCCCCCTACATCCCGACCCCCTGCCCCAGCCCAGAGCCCCACCCCGTACCCTGAGCCCCTCATTTTTTGCCCCCACACCAGAGCCTGCAACCCCAGCCAGAGCCATCACACAAACCCGCAGATGGCAAAGGGGCGGGGCCTGGGGGAAGGGGTGGGACGGGGTGTTCGGTTTTGTGCGATTAGAAAGTTGCCAACCCTAGTCCTGCAAAACTGGTGACTCCTGCATGGGGACTGCCTGAGACCCCCACGAGGCCGGCCCAGCATGGCTAGCCATGACACAGCCCCCGGGACCAGGCTGCCGCACACCTCCACTGAGCCAAACCCATCCCAGGTCCCATGTCAGGAAAAGGGCAACAAAACCCCAGCCCATCTGCATGGCGACACAGCCGTTATCTCCCATCCACCATAAAAAGATAGCAAATGTCCAGGCCCCCACGATGCAAGCCACGATCTGCCCCATGCAATGCCCCACAGAATCCCCCCTACCTCCAGGGTCTCAGCACCCGGAAACACTGTACTGTCCCACCCCCAGCACACTGCTCAGTGGTGGTCCCCCCGTCTCCAGAATGGGCAAATCAGAATGATGGGGTTCAGAGTGGGAGGTCTAGAGCAGTGGTCTCCAAACTTTTTTGATCGTGCACCCCTATTAGGAAAAAAACGTGAGCACGCACCCCCTGCCATGCCGGCTCTACCATTTTTTGCCAAAGCAAAAAAAAAAAAACGCCCCTTGGATTCCCGCCTGACGAAGCAAAAAGAAAAAAAAAAGCTCTCCTCCTGCCGTGCACCCCCATGGAAACCCACTTTGGAGACCACTGGTCTAGAGAGACAGACACAATCAGGACTGTTTGGTTTCAAAAGCAGACAAAGAAGAGGGGCCATGATAGAAGGACAGAAAACAATAAGTGAGACAGAGCAGGGGGATCAGGTGCCACATTTCACCCTGTCTGCTTATAAAGAACACAGGGACAGTCAATGAACAACACACAATTAGCCTGTGGAACTCACTGCCACAAGATCTGATTGAGGCTGAGAGCTTAGCAGGACTTGACGGGACTCTGGTTAATGAGGATGTCTGAAGTTGTAGAAGAGCTGATCCCATATTGACCCTCCTGCTTCAGGCCATTAAACACTAATTGATCAGGATTGTTCACTGGAGGGAAGATTCTTGCACCTCTTCCTGGAGCAGCTGGTGCTGGTCATGGCTGGAGACAATCGCCTGCACTAGACGGACCCTGGACTCATCCAGTCTGGTGAGGCCCATGTGCCTAAAAACAAATTCTGTTTCTTACGGTTGTGAAGAAAAGGCCCAAATGTGAGCTGAGCAATAGTGCCTGAGTCTGCAGACAGCCTGAAACCACAGCTCGGAGAGGAGTGAACTGCCCACATTCATTGCAGTGGAGGGTTGGCCCTGGAGCCTTATGCCCACAATTCAGTGTCCACACAGAGCAAGGGACAGCCCTGCCCCTAAGAGCTCTCAGTAGACAAGGCAGACAAAGGCTGGGGAAATGGATGGACCATTATTCCCATGGTACAGATGGAGAAACTGAGGCACAGAGCTGGATGGGAATTTCCAAAGCATCTCCATGTTTCACAGGGAACCTGTAGCAGAGCTGGGACCTGAACCTGGCTCTCCGAAGTCCCAGGCTAGGCCAGTCCTTCCTGCCTGACCCCAAAGCCCTTTATAAACACTAAGGAGTGAAGCTCATGACTCCCTCCCCTCTCCCCGCAGAGCAGTGAGGCCCCACAACAGAGATGGGCCACTGGCACAGAAGGGCACCCAGCAAGTCAGCCCAAACAGCAGGCTATGGGTGCTGAGTTCTGAGGGGGTCGCAGGAGGAGCACGTGGGGCAAGGAGGATACTGGAATCTGCCTGTTTCCAGCCACTGGGATGATCCGCTGCAGCCAATGGGACAACTTCCAGTGTTCTCCAGCAGTGAAGGAGGTTGGTTTCCATCCTGCCAAGTCGTTTGCTGCAAAGCCTCTCCTTCAGTACATGAAGAACACGGTGCGGTACTGATACAGAGCTGTAGTGCCCAGACATCTCATAGTGCCAATGTTATGAGTGGAAATCTTTGTGGTCTGCAAGCTCTCTTGCAGGAAGTAGTACCTCAAGCATTGTATGTTCACTGCTTCCAGCACAGGGACAGTTTAGTTTTTGTTGATATGTGCAAAGGAAACAAACATGCACAAAATTTTTTTCACCGTCCTGGAGAAATTTTTGTACACTTTTCTGTCTGGGTCAGCTGCACACACTAAATTCACAGCCATTCAAAAGACAGTACATCCCCAAAAGAAAGTCTTGGCATTGAAGAAGCTCTGACACTCGATGGGCATGCCGAGTTTCTACTTGTAATGCTATGACATGACAATTTCAAGCCTTCTTGTGACACTCGCAGAGGTGACAGGGCAGTAGGTGCACAAGTATTTGACTATATTGTCCTCCTGTGTAACCTTTGATGGGAATTTAGGATGTGGACGTAAAGAGACCTTATTGTTGAAGAGCATCGTAAAGGGGGGGATCTGCCATCAAGACTCCAATCTCTCCAACCCTACGGGCCAAAGTTATGGCAACTAAGAAGGTCGTCTTCATAGATAAAGAGTAGGGAGCAGGTCACCACTGGTTTGAATGGAGGTCTCATAAGGTGGTTGAGAACCAGGTTAAGATCGCAACACAGAGTGCTGTATATAAAGTGAGGGAAGAGTTTACACAGTCTGTGACGAGCTGGAGTAGGTCCGGAGGCCCCCGGCTGGGGGGCTCACGGCCCTGACTCACCCTGCCCCAGAAAAGAGCAGAAGAAAAGTCCTCCAGGCAGCCTAAAGTGGCTGCAGGGGAGCAGCCAATCAGAGGAGCTACTGGAGTGACCAATCAGGAGCCAGAGGGCCATATAAAAGGAAGCAACAGAGGCAGAGCAGTCAGTTGCTGCCTGGAGCTGGAAGAGGGAGGACTGGGTGCCTAGCTGGCTGGGCGAGCAGCAGGATGATGGACAAATCAGTGTGGGCAGGCGGAGCCCAGAACCTAGCCAGACCAAGCGAAGGTACCATGATGGGCCCTGCACACATACAAAAAGGGCAATGACTGCCTAGGAAGGAGTACTGTGGAAAGGGATCTGGGGGTCACAGTGGACCACAAGCTAAATACGAGTCAACAGTGTAACGCTGTTGCAAAAAAAGAGAACATAATTCTGGGAAGTATTAGCACAGGGGTCCTCAAACTGGGGGTCGTGAGGTTATTACATGGGGGGGTTGTGAGCTGTCAGCCTCCACCCCAAACCCCACTTTGCAGCCAGCATTTATAATGGTGTTAAATATATTAAGAAGTGTTTTTAATTTATAAGGGGGGGTCGCACTCAGAGGCTTGCTATGTGAAAGGGGTTTGAGAACCACTGTATTAGCAGGAGTGTTGTAAGACACAAGAAGTAATTTTTCTGCTCTACTCCGCGCTGATTAGGCCTCAGCTGGAGTATTGAGTCCAGTTCTGGGCGCCACATTTCAGGAAGGATGTGGACAAATTGGAGAGAGTCCAGAGAAGAGCGACAAAAATGATTAAAGGTCTAGAAAACATGACCTCTGAGGGAAGATTGGAAAAAATTGGTTTGTTCAGTTTGGAAAAGAGAAGACTAAGAGGGGACATGATAACAGTTGTCAAGTATGTTGTTACAAGGAGGGGGAAGAAAAAGTGTTTTGCTTAACCTCTGAGGATAGGACAAAAGCAATGGGCTTAAATTGCAGCAAGGGAGGTTTAGGTTGGACATTAGGAAAAACTTCCTAACTGTCAGGGTGGTTAAGCACTGGAATAAATTGCCGAGGGAGGTTGTGGAATCTCCATCATTGGGGATTTTTAAGAGCAGGTTAGACAAACACCTGTCAGGGAGGGTCTAGATAATACGTAGTCATAGGTGCCGACTCCGTGGGTGCTCGGAGCTGGAGCACCCACGGAGAGAAATTTGCGGGTGCTCCGCACCCACTAGCAGCCAAGCTCCCCCCTCCTTGCCTCCTTCTCCCCCCCCAAGCACGCTGCATCCCTGCTCCTCCCCCTCCCTCCCAGCACTTCCCACCCCCACCCCCTCCCCGCGCCTAACAGCTGTTTGGCGGTGCTTAGGACTTTCCAGGAGGGACGGGGAGGAGCGGGGATGCGGTGCGCTCAGGGGAGGAGGCAGAGAAGAGGCAGGGCAGGGGCTATGGTGAAAAGTGGATGGGCCAGGCCCCCTGCCCCCCCCCCATTCTGGCATCACTGGGCGGAGCACAGGAAGGGCCACCGCGGCCCAGGTGTCCAGCGTCAGGTCGGCAGCAGCTGCGCTAGTGGAGAGTTACCCTGGAGGAAGAGTGAGTGCAGGCATCTGGTTCCACCATCCTTGGGACCTGCAAGGTTCTCCCTGCGCGAGGGCAGATTCCCAAAGGGGTACGTAGGAGAACTCTTCACTGAGATCCAAGAGACTGACTGGGAGTCCTCTCCCTCCACATCCTCCCATGGGGGAGCAGCCACTGAGGACAGTCCTGTGCCACAGGATGGCTGCTCAGAGACAGAGGTCCCGGTCCAAGAGATGCTTGGTACCCGTCAGCAACGGGGACGCTGATTCACCCAACACCAAGAGGCCCCTCGAGTATTGGAATTCCTGTGTTACCAGAAAGGACCCCAGTCCTTGGATATCCAGGGCTTCACAGACCTGCTGGCACTGGAGGAAGAGTCCTTGGCCTCAGCCGTCCCCTCGGAGACCAAGGCCTGGTGGTGACCTAGTGTCTTTGGAGTGAGAGTCCGTGCTCCTCTTTCCCAGCTGGCTCCAAAGACCTCTCTGCCCCAAGGTTGCTGGGCACTGGGTCTGTCTGGGGACAGTTGAACGGGAAGAGGGGTCTCCTGACTTGGCTCAGAGGGGGGCTGCATGGCCAACAGTCTGAGACAGAACACTTCTGGGAGACATGGCACTCCCACAGGCAGTGGCCACACTTAGAGCACCTGTTGCTTTCCGGCATAGCCTCCCAGCAAGAGAGCCAACAGGCAAGCGCTGCCAGGAGAAGACAAGTCTCCCAGAGGGAAGTGAGCAGGAAAACAATCCTCTCACCTACACCTAACTAACTCTACGAACCCTACCAACGATAAACTCCCTCACTGCGAATAAAGAGGGGCCGGGGATGTGCTAGGAGGCCATGCGAGGCAGTAGAGAAGGAGCTCTCGCCCGCACGCCCCCTTGAGCTGCGGTGTCTGCCAGAGGCGGATAGGGAGCGTGCGCAGGCTGAACAGATGTTGCTAGCTAGAGCTCTCCGAGCAAGGGCTTGAGAGGTGCATGCGGGACACCACTCGGAGAAGAAAGGAGACCTCAGGAAACACCGTTTCGCCATGCTTCAGCCGATAACTGGAGCACTTCAAAGATTTCCTGAAAATAAATCTGTTCTTGTTGGTGTCAGTTGCCTTAGCCCAAAGCATGAGAATTAAAGCCACTTGCAGAGCACTAGGGAGGCGATAGAGACCATGTGGAGACCGAGGTAAAACACTGCTAGGAAGAAGAGCAGAGGTCCAAGACACCGTTTGCTGCAGCTGCTAACTTTTCCGAATAAATACAAAACTTGCCCCACGACCTGCATGAACGCTGTGTGATGGGTGTGAGTATTCCTCCGCCAAGTGCTGCAGGGGAGAGACCTTTCGCTGCACGCTTTGATGGGTGACAGATTACCTGAGGAACTGCAGGACACGGGACCGGTTAAGGGACCTGGCTCTCGCGGCTATTGGAAAAAAGTATCAAGGTCTCTTGATGGGAAGAGAGTTGTCAGCAGAATTGATGCTGCTCCCAACACCCGACACATGCAGCTTCCAGAGGGTAAATAAATTGTTCCCAACACTATTTATCCCCATTTTATAATGTCTGAGTAGCAGAACCCTTGTTCCCCCACAATAGCGTCCACCTCCCCTTCTAGTTATTCTAGCATTGCCTTGCGCCACACACTAGTCTCTTAAACACCTGAGTCCTGACCTGCAACACACACGCAAAGCACATCAATTGTGCCGACTAGTCTGTAGCTATGGGCGGGGGGAGCATAAAGACGTGGCAACAACACCAAGATCAAACCAGTTATTTCCCCTACAAGGAAATAGTTGGTCTATGGAACTCCCAGCTCCAAGATCTCAGTGAGGCCAACAGCTCCAGGAAAGGACCAGCCACAGATATGAGTGGTAAATATGGCACCTGCCCACGCAGTGGCTGGCTGTACTGGCGTATCTCATGGTCCCGGCAGAAACCGATCAGTGACAGCCTGGTCTTATTTCCCTCAGAGGCATGGTGGGACCTGAGCCAGCGCCTGCTGAAGACTGGAAAGACTCCCCCGGGTTCCCTGACTTCAGCCCAAACCTGGGGGCCAGGTTTTCCAAGGAGCCCAGCACGCTGGGGTGAGGGTGCTGAGGAGAGCCCAGCAAAATGTTTTCAGCAAATTTTCACCCAAAACATCATCTGGCAGGGCTGGGCACCAAATACCGGCAGAATTCAGGTCAAATTCAGCAAATCGTTTCAGCCCCAAAAAATAAAATGGGGAAAAAGATCCCCAAAGTTCATTTGGGGGTTAGCTTTGAAATTGTGTTTCATTTTGAAATTTAGCTAATTTTTTTTAAAAGGGTTTTTTATAAAACACCTGAAAATGCCCCCACATGAAAAACAAAAACAAAAAAACCCCACAAATTATTTTCAGGTTGAACAAAATGTTTCAATTGACCTGAAATGAATTTGTTTGAATGTTTTGTTTGTGTCAGTGAGAAAAACCGAAAACCCCGAGTTTCAGTTCAAACGAAACATTTTATAGAAGTGATTTTATTTTTATTTTGCAGTTTGGCCCCTGAGCCAAGCCCTGCCTGGGTCACTCGCTGAGCCCTTGGGAGGCTGCCCTGATACAGAACTCGGCAGCGTCTGGTGCTGGCCTGTGGGAGCCGCTGGTCTGGCTGTGGCTGTAATTCCTCTGGCCCCCTGGCAGCGTCCAGGCCCTGTGAGAGCAGCGAAGAGCTGCGCTAGCCGCAACAAGCCAGCAGGAGGCAGGGCTGTGCACTGGATTTAGGGACGCAGGGTCAGGTGTTTCGCTGTCAGAGGCAGAGATTCCAGGTCAGCAGCCAATTAATGAGAGGAACCGGAGAGTCCGATTCCATCTCCGGATGATTCGGTAACCGAAACCCCACCCCTTCAGTCTCCCCCTCCAGAAGCACACTGCTCTCGACTTCTAATGGACACTGACAAGACAAAGCTCTGAACATGAGACCCAAAGAAGCCAGCCAGCCCCTTCCATCCCCAGCCTCCTCCCCATGAATAAACATTCTCCCCGACCCCCCAGGGCCCTGCTGCCAGGACCGGGAGCCACAGGGT